CTTCATAACTTAAAAAAAAACAACAGAAAAAAAGGTAAAATGCCTCCATACTGCTCCTGTGGTGTCATCCATGTGTCCCTAAGCCCAAACATTTTAAATGAGACTCGAAACGGTTTCATTTACACCATGTTTTTAGCCTAAATGTCATCTGTTATCCTGCTCCTAGTTGCTGCCGCAGTAACTGCAGCTATCGCAAATTCTCGTGATAGTCATGAATTCTCGTGAGACAAGATCTGCGAGATCGGCAGTGAAGACATTCCTTCAAGCTGATCTTAAGATATCATGTTCAAGAAAAACAGACTTTGTGCAGACACTGTGACCTTCCCCTTTGAGCACCAAATTCAAATGAGTCAATCCTTGAGTCCAAATAAATGTTTGTGCCAAATTTGAAATTATTCCTTGAAGGCGTTCCAAAGATAAAACCATCAAAAAGCATAAACTGTGCTTTGTGAGTTCAACGTGGACTTGAGCTATGACCCATTACCACAAAAATCATTTAAAACATGCAGTAAATCCTTGAGTCCAAGTGAATATTTGTACCAAATTTGAAGAAATGCCCTCAAGGCGTTCATGAGGTATTGTGCTCAAGAGAATGGGACGGACTGAAAGACAACCTGAAAAACATAATGTCTCTGGCCACTGGCTTTTGCCGGTGCGAAGACAATGTTATAATATTATATTATATATGTGTATATATATGTTATAATAGACCTGAGACAAGACAGTAGTGAGTGTCAGCAATCCAGTAAGTTATTAGAATGTGTTGTTTTTTTTCTCTTTTGCCACACACGTACTGTGGGCTCGCTCTGTGGGCCGCCAAAAGTTGAGTCATTAATCGTGACCCAGTGGGATTACTTTAAGCCAGCATGTGGTCTTGTATTTAAACTACAAATGGGCTGCCGCATGTTGTGTCGCTGAAAAAGTGAAGTACACTCACCATGAACTGACACTACAAACAGAACAGTTGGGTTTGCGCTTTCTGCTTTTTTCTTGTTTCTACACTGGCAATAATAGAATGATAAGTAGATATCTGTGTACACAGTCATCATAATGTGCTGCATTTAGTAAACGAAAGACCTTTAACAATTTTGGTTTCCAGAGTTTTGTGAATCAGACATTGATTTGAGGATTTTGCATCAACAGCCAGAGCCTTGTGTGAAAAGTGGCTATTTTTACTGCTGATAAGTCCTTGTGTTCTATTTGATGTGTTCAAGCACGGCTCCTTTTCACAGTCGTGTAAAAATATTGTTTTCATAAGCCTTGAAAATCTAGAACTCGACCTGAAGCACAGCATGTTGCCAACACCAACACCTCAGTTGATTGACATGCTTTTGACTAGAAGGATGCAAACACATATTTCAACAACAGTGACACGTTTATTTTGTTGGTGTCTGAAGGCTTATACGATTGTGTTTGCTCCAACAACTTATTTTACCACAGTGCTGTCCATCCTCACGTCAGGGCCATATCTAAGTTTGCTGAAAAGCACTTCCTCAGTGTGTGTCCTTGCAACCTCCATAACCATCCCTCTCGTGCCCTCCCAATAAGTCAAGCATGAAATGTAGGCAGGACAACAGAGGCCTGACCAAAGCAAAGACAAACAGCACTGTATCCATTAACTTGTCAGCATGGCAGACAAATGAACTCTCCTTCAAGTATTAATGGGATTAAGGAGCATCTGCACTGACAATGAATAGCCCGATCAAGTAGCACAAACACACACACACACACAATAAAAAACAAGTTAAAGACTATAGCTCATGTCACCACAGTAGCAGGAGAAGACTTGAACACTGAATCCCGTGCTGGGATATCCTGTGTTTTGCATTGACGTATGTGTGGGTTGTCGTCCATTGAGTTGCAGTGATTTCATTGGTTATCATGTCTACTGATCTGACAGGGGTCTGACCTCTCTCCACTGATTGAAGACTGTGCCATTTAAAACCAGAATGAAGGGCACAGTGGAGGTAGGTTGCCAGCCATGTTAAAAGTCATCTGTGCGTCAACCATAACCTTCTGTGACCGCTGAACATAATGAGATCTGAGATAGATGGCTATCATCTGGATTCATTTAAGAACATCTTCCTTTAATATGTCCAACTGTTTGAAAACAGTTTGTAATTAATTCAAAATAAAAGTGTATTCAGGTAACTCTCTCAAGTGTACAGAAAGCAAATTATCTTGTTTTTTTTCAAACTTATGTCCAAAAGGCCAGAACAAGGGCTGCAACAAATTACTGCTTTCAATATATTTTATATTATTATCCATTATACTATTGCTTTAATTCTTATTTTTGTCTGTAAAATCTCAGTCAATTGTGAAAGAGGCAATAAACGAAATTGGCCCATCTCAAGTTGCGTCCGTGGGTTCGATTCCGAACCGGCCAATTGCTTTCTTGTTCTCTGTCCCTATTTCACACTGACCACTGTCATATCAATAAAACAAAGGCAGAAAATGCCCATTAAATATCTGTTTAATTCATGCTTGAATTAATTTTCTCTTTCGGCTCATCAACCAATTCGGAGCTCTAGATAATACTGTGCTACGACAGTAATTTGTTTACAAACCTAAGGTTGCAGTTTATTTCTCTGGTGATCAATACATTCATTATCTTGGACAATTATAGCCTATTATTCATATAGTGTGGCAAACTGCTGCCTGGTGGAAAGTTTCTGTGAATTGATCTGTACTGTATCTTATCTATTGCCATGATATTCCCAACACTATTAAGTTTCATCTGGCCAAAATTTGAATGTCTCTCATTTCCATCCAAGTCTATTGTTTATCCAAATGAACCAGATGCCATTCCTGCTAGAAGGAAGAAGCTGCAGTCTGTGAGCCCAACGACTGAGTCCATCTGAAGCCTGAACTATTCTCAGAATCAAACTTTCTACATCAGCTTTGCATTCGACAAACTTCATCAAGTGTGTCAAGCCAGCAGAATCTTTGTGAAATGAACAGTACCCACAATATTAAGACAAATCATGATCCACCAACAGCAGACAATCACATCCTATCTCCAGATGGCTGTCCATTTGCCACAGAGGCTCTAATTACTCAACCATTAAAATCAAGAGCGACTAAAATTAAGATGCATGAAAATCCATTAGAACTCTCTCTGTGTGCACAGGCACAAAAGAATCTTACATTTCCATAGAGCGGGGGCCCGTGAGTGCAGTCATGTGCTTTGTCCAGGCGGACAGGCAGCGTCCCAAACAATGTGTGAGAGTCAGCACCAGTAACCAAACGGAGGAAGTGATGTATTGCACACTGACTTGGAACAATGCAGTCTGTTTTACCTGAAGGCGAATGTTTCTACCCCATCAATTTGTTTCAGTGGACAGAGGCGGCCTGTGACATCCTCGATTGTGTTTGTCTCAAGACGCCTGCTGCCTTTGAGCAATGACAAAAGCCAAGTAGAACGTAGCTTTTGTAGAATTAAAAGAGACGTCAGATAATCAAATCACCGTGTATTGTTTCCATCTGTTTCTTTGTAGGAAGGACTTTGAATGCTTTGGGGCCATTTTCAGTCTGACTCTGTGATGCTCTTTTTCTTTTCTCTCTTTTAAGAAATCTTTAGAATAGACCGACCATGCTGTTAATGTTGCTAAAGTAGCTGCCAGCTTGACCATTGTGGCTAGAAGCATGATCACACAGAGATCAAACAGTGTTAACACCCTACATCTCCTCCTCAAAGCGGCTCCTCACTGTGGTAGAGGTTACAGCTGGGCTCAGTTTGGAAACAGATGGACAGAAATCCCATTGCAATAGCACAAATTTAAATAGGATATGATTAATTGGGGAGGGGGCTGGTTCAGGGTGTATTTTTAACTCGCTGAGCCTTGAAACTAGTGGACTCACAGCACCACGGCTCCCTGGGTTTTTTCCTGTGTATTCATTATTCCAGCCTACCGGGGAGTATTATGTCTTGCAACGGCTGACTCCAAGTTGACACCGCAAGGCTTAGGGAGCCGTACAAACTCTGCTCAAGGCACACTCCAGCTGTAGAGACTGAGGTCTGTCTGACATGTGTGACTCCTGAGGCGAGAATGTTGCTAAATGAATAGAGACAGGGAGGATGGCATGACCCACTTCCATAAGGGCTACGCTGCTTTCTTTCCACAAACCCCACAGGTACAGTTCGGCACTGTTCCATGGAGAAAATATGTACAGCTGGCAAAAAGCTTAAATATCTCCATCAGCAGACAAAAGGGAAGGGCAGAGGAGGATGTGAGATGGCCTGAATGCTGATTCACTGGGTCAGGTGGATGCAAAAGCTTCCAACAACCTCCTCTCCACAGAAAGCAGCCTGACAGTTTGTGGACATAATCAGACTTGCAATGCACAATCAACCCTCTTGTTATGTCATCCTAGCCAATATTATTATAACCATGCAACTAATGCAGGCGGCTCTGAGGCATATCTCCTCTTACTGATAGCATAGTCTGTCTGAAGCCAATAATTCAGTTACTCAAAGGGGGAAGTGGCGTCTTTCCTCCGTTCTGTCTTAATGGAACGGGGCCATATACAGTAGGATATCACTGGACGCACAGCTTCCTCCGTTATCCATGGAAGCATCAGGGAGAAGATGGAGCAAACAGCTGAGGATTATCAGCGTGAGGGCGCACGAAACACAGGAGCAGAGCGCTCTTCTACCTTCAAATGTGCGCTCCGGGCTGATTTCTCTGCAGTTTGGCGAAATTACGCACGGATCAAGCATTCAGTCATGTGTTTGATAGACTCAAACAAGTGTCTTCAAATAAACAAATGGACAAACGAGGTCGTGCACGCAGCCTACATCAAGCTGACAGAGCGGTCACATTCCACAAGCGCTCCACAGACGCGCGTTACATTCTGATCAGCGTGGGCTCAATCTATTCACTTCCAATATGAGAGGACGCAGCGGTCGCCATCGATCAGTGCGTGTTAGGAGGCTACCACGCCGATGAGCCAGTCGTGATAAATGTTTCTTTTCTCACTTTTGTTTTCTCCCCACTCACCTTCCACACGCTGCGGGACAGCGGCGCTCAGACACAGGGCGATGGAAAGGAGCAGCGGTCCCATCCTCTCTCTCTCGATGAACAGGTCTCTGACTTCCAAGGTTACGGGGCCAAATAAGCCAAAAGTTCTCCCTCCTCGCGTCGCTGCAGGGTCTGGCCCGGGAGCTGTGTGCGTAATATGTGTGTGTGTATATGTCCTCTCAGGTGAATCGTCCCCCCCCCCTTGTGAGAGGAAGTCTGCAGAGTAAGAGACGCGCACTCGCCTCTGTCGCGCAGGAGCAAGTGAACGATGCCTGCCAGGTCCACCTCTCACTCTTTCTCTCTCTCTCTCCCTCTCTCTCTCTCTCTATCCTACCGCAGTGGTGCGATGTGCTGGAGCAGCGACGTGTGCGCTCAGCGCTGCCGGACAACTACTGTCAAAACACCCGCAGTCAGGAGAGCCATCACTTCCTGTCCACACTTCCACAATAAAACACGCTGATTAACACTTCTTAAAGGTTCAGTGTGTAAGATTTAGGTGAAAGGGATCTATTGGCAGGAATTAAATATAAAATAACTCGAGTGATGTTTTCCCTAGGTTTCATCTAAAATTACAAATTGTTGTTTTGTTTACCCTAGAATGAGCCTGTTATATTAAATATTTAATATTTACCTCAGGAGCAGGTCATCTCTGTGGAGGCCGCCATGATGTTTTTACAGTAGCCCAGACTGGACAAACTAAACACCTTTTGACTTTTTATTACAACTGAAGACTTCCACATGTTCTCTTTCATGTTTAGAAGGGGAGGGTGAGGTGAGGTGAGGGGTATCCCGCGGCAACATGCAAATTCACCACTAGATGTCACTAAATCATACACACTGTACCTTTACACCAAAACGCCTCTTTTTTGTTAGTTTTTTAAAAAATACATTTGTCTCTTACTTACAACAGTGTCCTGACATTACAAAAATAAAGTTGTTATTGAGAATAAACTTGCATGAAGTTGTAATTTTAGGCTACGTGCCATTTTAGAGATTATCCGCCATGTTGCTTGCATTAAAATGAGGAATATCAGCATCTTGTTAAGTTATACTTTAGTATTGGTCTCAGAATAACGTTATACTTAATTTCACAGAGTACTTTATTATCTTAACATTATGACTTCATTCTCAAAATCTCAGATTGTATTTCCTGTAACGTGGTTCTTATGTTCTGTCATACTAAAAATGCTATTGATAACTATGAAGAGTTTGTATGAATGAAGAATTTTTTAGGTTTGTTGAAGTACACAGTATGGTGTACCATTGCCATAGAGTTAACAGTACTGAGGAATTACTCAGATTTGCACCTTACTGAATTAGGAACTGTGCATGGATGTTGGACATCTGTGTATGATGTTGCAATACTATGCAGAGTTTGACTGCATACATTACAATGCCATTGCTGTAAAGGCCTAAATAGCATGCTGTTCAATTATTTTTTACAGAACTTAAAAAATGACAATTCCGTTGCTCTTATATTCTAAATAAATACAATATAATGATAATATTATATGTAAGATTTCTCTTTTCAAAGTAAAACCACTAGACATCCTCATTAGGAAGTGTGGATTGACAGCTTCCAGGAAAGTGACCTGGGGATGTGTGAGCTTCACTGTCGGTCACAGCAAGTGGGGCATCGTCTTATTGATGGAGACAACTCCTTCTCCCTTCACCTCCTCCTCCTCTCGAAGAGCACACTTTAAACGCCTGCTACCGAGCTGGGACTTCAAATTGTGTATAATCAGGCACTTCAGCCTTTCCTTAACCTCTTTCCTCCATCTCACCACTGGTTTCCCTGAGAAGCCTCAGGAAGTTGGATGCTCCCTGATGAATTTACCCGTTTCTAGTAGGCCCACCTTTTCTCTAGAAGGCCTGAACCAACATCTTCATCCTAAAAATATAATTTAGAAGTTGGTGAAATAAGACACGATGTGTTGACCAGCAAATGTCAGTTACTTTTTCTATTGTGATGTTGTCTGTGGTTCGTGGAAAAGACAGGTTTAAGAGTGGTGTCACATTATTGTAACACTGCAAACAGCTTTTCCATGCCTATGACTCCATGAATGACATTAACACCAGTTTCACAGCCTATAGACTTTGCTGTTTGTGTTACTTTAGTCATTCAGCTCCATCAAATCCGACTCCACTGACATGGCCATAATGAAACTGGAATGAGAAAGATTGCAGGTATCTCGGCATTTCCGAAATGAGATTATTTCAAAATTAGATTATTTCACACAAGGCTGGCGCCACACTGGTTGTTCATACATGTGCGGTATTACAGCCAATTGGATTTTGATGAAAACTGAGGTCAAATGAATCAGACAGATTCGCTTTGGTGATTTTAGATTTACACTAATCCACCGAAATTATTATGATAGGCCCAATCAAGAGGGTGAAAAAGTGCATCTGTCAAGTCCAAAAGACATTTGGAGCTCTGTGTTTATACTATAATGAGCAATTATATATACAGTGATATTTACTGGTGAAAATAGGAGAGATGAATGCACAGTAATGTCATAGATTTCCCATTCCAAACATTTGCAATAACTTTAACTTTTGGATTTGAATGTTCTTCTTAAGTGTATGTATTTGTATTTTTTTCATCAATTATTGGAACTGTAAAAAAAAAAAATATATATATATATATATATATATATATATATATAATCTGTTTAATACCATACTTTCTGTCTTTTCTTTCCGCTCATTTTAGTAAGAATATTCGACAGCTGAAGAAAGAACAGGGCGAAGCTCAGACTCTGAGCTGATGTCATCATCAAACATCCCATAGTTACTTATCTGCCTGACCTTGAGGCGTCTCTGAGTTCCTCGTCATGAATCATGTAAGATATCAAGTGTTGTATGGTTTAATGTAGATAGAGACCTATAAGTGCATGCACTTGGTCAAGACTAATAAATCATTGGCAGTAGCCACAGTAAAGTCTGCTATCATCTAATGAGACGCCGCCCTATACTATCATCCAGCCCCTCCCATTGTTTCAGGTTACCAGGCGCTGTACCATTCTCCGTGGTAAATGCGGTGCCTTTAAAATGTATTATCAGTACGGAGGATTATTAATAAGGAGGAAACCACAACTGTGAGCTGAAATGTCTAAAACAGCATCGGTTACAACTGATGAATCCACAATGGATATCTTATGCTAATCTTGTAAAGGGGATCAATAAATCAGAGTTCATTCAATGGTATAACCTAATGTTTGGAGCTGGATTTAGCTTAAAATCAGAAAAACCTAATATCCCTTATATCGAGTATCCATTTGTAGTGTCCATTTACGATCATAATACTCCACTAAATCCTCATTAGGCTTCAGTTTCATCTGTGCCAGAGAGAGAGAGACCGAGAGAAATCAAACAACAGAGAGACGATCAGAGGATTGGCCACTGACACCACGGCTTGCTGGTAAATCTGTACACTAAACACAGGCCCCTTGACCTCCTCCCAGTTTCGCTGCCAGCCTACACTCTGAACACAGCTTCCACAACTGTATTCTCTAAATCCTCCACACTTGTACATCTAAACCTCGGCACAGCCAGGTCTTTCCTTCGAGCTCAACTCCCCTCGTCTCTTTTGCCCTTGTCTCTCCCCTGGCTTGCAGAGAGGCCGGGCTCAGACCAGCGGATCCTCTTCAACTCACATCCATCCTCATTTAGACCACGGGGACCCATTTAGGATGAGCAACGGGCTGGAAAACACAGTGACCTTCTCATATTTGACTCATTTACTGCTGTTTTTATTTCAGCCACTAAAAGCCAGCGCCATGTTTTTATTATTTGCTAAAGTTGCGGAGTTGGAGAGGAATGGCTGCGGCGTCGTTTCTCTTCCAGCAATAATCCACACCTTCAAGGGCACAACGATTTTATCCCTTTATCCAAATGAATGGGGAGGCTAAAGCACCTTTAGGACACAGAAATAATCTCAAATTGAAACATAATGCGTGAAGAATCTTTGAATTCACACCAAGCATGTACTACTTGGCGCAAGGCTTTATTATCTTTCATGCCCTCAGCATTTTCACAACCACAATTTTAATGAGGTCAACCTCTTTAAAATAGTGGATCAGGGATATAGTTTTTTTTGTTCCTTGCCCATCCATGGTTCTATCCTCTCGTATAGCTCTGTCTCTCACAGTGGGAGAAGAGGTTTTTTTTCATATCCACTCGCTCCCCCTCTCTCAACTCCCTCGTCTCCAGGTTCTTGTGCTCTCCTTCCCAATCAGACTGCCTGAGTTGTGTTCAAGGCCTCCCTCTCTCTGTCTGCTCTTGCCACAAAGGCCTAAGGGGGAGAAAGACAGAATGAGAGACAGTAAAGGGAAAGAGGTGGCGATGGTGGTTAGAAAGGGTGGTGGTGGTGGGGAGGTGGGCACTCAAAGCGGGACGGAAAGGATAGGCGATAGAAAAGGAGATGGAGGAAGAGTGTGGGAGAGGCAGAGCGAGCGGCAGAGGGGCAGAGTGAGATGGTAAAGAAGGCAAGCAACACTGAATTAGATGCTCTTGGAGAAGAGACAGTGAATTAATTCCAAAGAGAATATTGCATTGTGTCTTCTTTTCTCTTCCTCTTTCAGCACTGGGACACAGAGCGGAGTTATGTTCCCCTGGCAGCCTTCTCTATTCCTCTCTTCTTTTAGTCCCAGGCTGTTGATACCACTGGCATCAACTTGTGCTTTCCCCATCCTTGTCATTCTACTCATCACTGTAGTTTATATAGAGTTATGTTCAGCACAAATCTATTTTGAGTATTTTGTCATTCATGGTATAAGTAATGCACAACTTCCATTATGGCGCTATGCATTTCATTTCTAAATTAGAAAAAAAGAAAAGTCAAGTGCATTCACATCAAAGGTATTTATCTTTGTGCTTGTACAATGTGTGAACAGTGTATTTTTCTAGTCTTCCAGAGTGAATGAACCATGATACACAGCCTCACAGGAAACACTTTCCACAACTCGCCCCCACTGTGTTTCCATAATAACAATGATCTGCACCCCATCCCATCTGTTTCCACTATGAATATGTTTAAGCAAAAACCTGGTAGTTGCCTCAAAACACTGGCTCAAGCCTCCACATTTAGAAAACAATTCTCATTCAAATTACAGTTGAAAATCATAATATTTGACTGGGCATGCTGAGTAGTACAGCTGCGCTCCACTGACTTTTCACTGTAAATCGCTGAATACACAATAAAGTGACATGTGTATATCAGGTTTCAGTGAATGAATGACAGGAGCTTTCACACTATTCTAAACTCTCTCTCATGTAGCACATGATCACTGCTTATTTACTGAGTCACAGTAATAATGTCCTGACAATTAAGTCGCACTCTCACATTT